AAAGTTTATAAATAGGATCATATAACTTAGTAGGAGCCCCTACTCAATGAACCAGTGAGTTCCTTTCAGGCAGCTGCTGGTCCAGGTCAAATCTGAGGTGGAATGCACCCGCAGCACAGATACTAAACCTCCTTGCTGGTGTCTCACAGCCAAGTGTGCCGGGTCATCTCAGACACAACCAAACGTACCTGTGTTTCACATGGCTCATCTTTATTATTCCCCATGGGAACACAAAGTCTTTTTCAGTTCTGAACAATATATAAAGTTTAAAAACCTCTCACAGTTCTCCACGATTTCAAATACAGGTTCTCCTCCCCCTTCTTTTTTCTTTCTCTCCTCTAAAATGCAGAAATGCACATGTATTAATGTAATTAAATGAGAGAGCTTGGCTAATAGGACTGATTTGGTCTAGAAGGAAAGCATATAATTAGAGTGCCAAGTAACAGTACTATCAAAGGGACTTTCAGTATGACAACATAAAGGCTCTGAATTTCTGCTGGTGACAAAACCACGTGTGCACATGGAGTAGGCAGAAGAACCAGCCTCCCACATAATGTGCTTAAATGTCCTACCTTTTCCTCGCCCCCGGGACTGGCTCTGCCAGTCATCCCATTGCTAGGGATGAAGATAACAAGCCATTGTCAAGGGCAACCGCAAAGCTGCTTGTTTCACATTAGCATCCTTAACATTTTCTATCTAATCAGATTTCCTGTTGGTCGAGGAAAGCTGCCTTTCCTCATTACCAGCTGCTATCCCAAATTTCCCTCTCCCCATCCCCAATGCATATTTTGCCATGCTTGTCTGCTTTTCTGTGTAAAAAGGTTATGTATGCCTGGAGGGAGACTAAATGTTACCAAAAAAAAAAAAAAAAAAAAAAAAAAAGGCAAAAAACCCCACAAGAAAACAGAACTGTGGGCAAGAGGCCAAGGCTCTTGATTATGTGACTGTGACTAACCAATGGGTGTTTTTAAAAAACATTTCTCTCATTATATTCCCTCCTCTGGACGTAATAATACAACTCAAATTAGTTTTCCAGGAGCAGACTTCTTTTTATGTAACCATGTTTTATACAGATAGCAGCAGCTTATGTTTAAACTATTTAAGAGAACAAATAGCTGCAAAATGTACTTCAGATGGCCCTTCTCCTGCTAGCAGTGTATTCCCAGCTTGAGGGAAGCTACAAAAACACCCTGTATTTTGCTGCTGCTTGGATGTAATCGTAAACAATGCACAATGCCCACAGGACCTAGCATCCAGGTAAGGATGTCAGGTCCGCTTGTTTTATTGCATTTGAGAGATCCATGACATTGTAAACTGTAGAATGACTTTGACAAAACAAAGCTGGAACGATGCAGAATAAAGCAGCAGTTCATCTTTTAACTTAGTCTGCAGTTTCCCATAGCATTAGGAAAGGCAGCATCCTATCTGAACTGTGATCCAGACTGACAGACATCACCCTCCTGGCACTAGACCCAAACGGAAATTTCCACATTTTGGGAAGATAATGTTGTTGTGATTTCCTGTTGTTCTTTTCCTTCCTTCCATATCTACCACTTCAAAAAAGACTGTCCTTGCTATAGTTACTGGACCAAGGACCTTCTATGCGCCCTCCAGGTTGATATCAAATGTACTGGCCCTGGACCTCTTCTGCTGAGGTGTATTTGAGGCATGTGGGTGCTGTGAAAAATGATGACATTGCAAGCAGACGGGTAGGGTGTCAGGAAAAGAACAAGAAACCAAAAGAGGTTAATTTAGGAAACATGGATCTAATCTTCTCATTCCTTCTCTTGCTTTTAGAAATGGGCCTGAGATATGAGAAATGATGGGCCGCCTGGTTCAGATACCAGAGTGAGGTGGTATTTAAGTCTTTCAGCAAATAGTAGAACATTCCCCAGACACCCCTACAAGAAGCCAGGAAAATCTTTTACCTGGTATCATCATACATGCCTAGGGGGTTCAAATCCTGAAGTGTTAAATGAGGCACCCCAAGCATTAACCCTGCATGAAAGTGGTTAAAAAGTGCAGAGAAGAAATCTAAATGAAATATTTAGAGAAACAGTTGCAAAGTTAGAAACATGCAGGCTTTACTATGTGTTCCCATGTCATTACTCAGCAGATAAAAAAGGTACATTTTTATACTCTCTGCAGTCTTTCAAGTCTGCAGTTTTCCATAAAACTGCCATTAAGACATTTTACTTGCAGAAGTTTCCTAATAGCTTCTTAGTTGCCGTACTTTCCAGTACCTTCAAAAATGTGTAAATTATGCTACAGTAACAGGCTGAAACATTTATTTTCATTCATCCTCATAGCACAATTGAGCTGTTAACTGCTGGCTTCACACTAGAAGGTACTCAGGTAGGGTTTGTTCCAGCCACTCCATTAACTTCAATGGACTGTTTTCATGTTTGTACTGAAAGCACAGTTCAGATCATTTCATACCCCAAATTTTTTAAGCTTCATGCCAACAAACCACTGCAGACGACACACATCAGTCTTTCAGAGGGTTTAACACCATTGCCAGGCAATTCACAGATTTTGAAGAAAGAGACCAATGCAGCCCAGGCAATTTAAGCTGCAACAGAGGCTGAAAGGACTCCTAAACTTATATTTTCCCTCTCATGCTAGAGGCAATGTCTTTCACAGAAACACATATAGAAATCACGCAACAATAAAAACTGATACCCCTATGAATTCCCATCAACTCAGATGGTTGTGGCATAAGTCAATATGGCCATAGCTTCTTGTGCCCTGTCTAGTAACACAAAATTCCTGGAGGAAAGGAGGAGGGATAAAAAGGGGAATGGGAAGAGACATTCATCCTTGTATACTGCAGTAAAAGATGAAGAGCTTTCCTCTTAGAACTAAACGTTTTCAGTAAGAATGATTAACAATACCATATGCCATGGAGGAAGGAGTAACGCAGCTGTTGTTGGAGAGAGAGTATGTAGATTTATGGAGAATCTAAGAAGAGCAACTGTTGGCTTCCAGGCGACAATACGGCAGAACTGATGCTCCCCAGGTCTTCGCTTAGAGCGTGCACCTTGCAAGCTTCTCCCAGTGGATCCTGAATTCCTCAACATTGAACCAAACCATGCCCCCAGGGGACTCTGGAGATAAAAGGCCCAGTACAACTCTGCTTCCCTTGTTCCTCTTGAACATTACACGCCATTAGCGTTCAAATTGTGGATTTATTCACTGAAAATGATCAGAGCTAGCTAAGAGC